GATTTGGGGGGGGGGTGTCCCCTGACGTGGTGGTCCCCCTGTCCCCTCCTCCCTCCTCCTTAGGGACCGGGTACCCTGCCTGGAGGAGGGGGGCTTGGGGAGAGGTTTGGGGAGCCAAGTGGGGGGTCTCTTGGGATATGGGCCAAAATGCCCCCCTCCCCCCAAGACTCCCCCCGAGGGCCCTGTCCTGCTCTGGAGGGGATTTAAATGGCATTTGGGATCCATTTAGGATCATGGGTGCTGGCTGGCTGGAGGGTGCTTGTCCCTCTGCTGCTCCCCAGTTCACCCAGTACCACCCACCAGCCAGCGCTGGGCCACATTGGGGTGCAGTGCCACCACAGCACCCCTCCCCAGCACCCCATGGGGAGCCAGTCCCCCTTACTGGGAGCTGTGGGGAGCGAGTAACCGGGGTGCCACAGCATCCCTAGCTCTGCTGGTTCCCCGCACCACCGAGGGCTCCTGGACGCCTGGGTCCTTGCCGGTGATGGTCCCCAGCACCGGGGTGGCCTCGAAGGTGTGACGAGCTGCGAGGAGGAAGCAAAGTCCTTGCGACGAGGACAACAAATCCCATTGGGCACTCGTTAACCGGGGACTCCGGCAGCACCGGCTCAGCCCCAAATTGTGCACCCTGGGGTGTCCCCGGCCACCCCAAGCTCCCCCTGCACCCAAGTCACGTCCCAAGGGCTGAACCAAGGCACCCCGATACTCCCCGCCCCAGCTCTGCCACAAGCTCGGCCGTGCCTCAGTTTCCCCAGCCGCATCCCGCCGCCTCTCCGAGCTTGGCCGCAGCGCGGGGGCTACGTCAGGCTGGAGGAATCCAGCTCCTTCCCTGGCTCTTTATGGCACTCGTGGGTCTAGGGTGGGCTTGATTCCCCCCCCCGGCAGCACCCACGGCACGGGGAGGACCATGGCCCATCCATGTCCACCCCTCCGCAGGGACAGGGTGCTCGCCCTGCCCCTTCCCAGCTCCTCCCAGTCACCCCACTGGGTAAGCTGGGAATGGTGCCGGCGGCAGAAATATTATTAAAAAACCCATTTTTATTTTTTTCCCCTCGACT